GTCTTAGTTCAGTGAAACCTATGGTCCTGTGATGACACTGTACATGGGATGGCAGCGGACAGTGGTTCTGGTGGGGTATGATGCTGTGAAAGAAGCCTTGGTGGATCAGGCAGATGACTTCACAGGCAGAATGCCCGTACCATTTCTGTTCAAAGCTACCAAGGGCTATGGTAACAAGACACCATATATCAGTTTTCAAGACCAGTGATTTCTTTGGCATGACTCTAAGTCAACTTTACATGAAAATAAAGAAATTTCAAATAATAGTTTGTGTAAAAGTTTTCCAAATCTTGACATTTCATCTTCTCAGGTTTAGGAATCAGTAATGGGGAGCGCTGGCACCAGCTGCGATGCTTCACACTCACAACCCTGAGAGACTTTGGGATGGGACGCAAGGGGATGGAAGAATGGATCCAAGAAGTCAGCGAAGACTTGAGGGCTCACATACGTACATTTAAAGGTGCGTTTTCAACATGTTGAGGGTGGATTTGAAAAAGGACTGCTGCACAATATCTCAAGTTTTTTTTTTTCCCTCAATCACTGCTCGAGTCTTTCACTCTTTTTCGAGTACAGTAGCTCGAATATGACCAAAAAATGTTCAATTCAATATTTACCTGAGAAGTTACTGTCACTTTGAAAAAAAGGAAACTTAATAACAAGAACATTTCTTGGAAACACTACAAAACTCTTCATTTGTGCCTGCACAAGAAATAGGCTGTAGTAGTAGGAGAGGTCAGGGAAACAAAACTAAATATGTAACAAAATGCACCAAACACGCATTAACATTTTGATAAAATACATCAAATCATTTAGTAACATATGGCGAAGTCTACAACTATCAGATTTTGTAATTCATGTACAAATCCTGTTTTGTCTGAACTCTTTAATCTTTGCATAGAAAACATAAAGTATTGCATATCCTGCTAAAACACTAAAGTATCATTTATAACGTCAGCTTGCTGTGACATGACTGATGCGCTTGGAAAAGATTAAGTTACCCTTGCTGGTTTACAGTTATATACTTTATGTGAAGAGTTTGCAGCCTCAGAGTCCTCTCACACTAAAGTAACAATAACATGAAACTGGCATGGCGGGTGAGTGACACGTGGACGGGGGTTCGGCTTGGACCTTAAGTGTTTGAAAAAAGTCGCTCAAAACAGAGCTGACTGTGCACACCAGCTGCTCTGCAGTCATTGTAACAGTAACCTATTAAAAAACAGCTTATCTATGTGTCATAAGTGAATGTTTAAGTGACATAGGACACAGCAACAGGGAATTACAATATAATGTGTCTGTTTATGATTCAATTAAAAACCAAATGTGCCCAAATAATAGCTAGAGTTCAGCAACATTGCAACACAGCAACCGAGTCTTTTTTTTTTCTCTCTCATCACAGCTCTATAATATCTGCCCACGGTTGATGGAGTGGTTGCCAGGTTCACATCACAATGTGTTTGCCAAACTTGAGGAGATGAGAGCATTTATTATGAATAAAATCCAAGAACATCAGGACACACTGGACGCAAGTTCACCCAGAGATTACATTGACTGCTTCCTCCTAAGACTCAATAAGGTGTGACAGAACTAAATTTAATAACCAGACTAAATCTTTGTGAATTACCTCACTTAGGCTTCTTTTATTTACTGCTGATAATTGTTCTTTCACAAATGTGCATGCCCCCTATTATAAGACAATTCCTTTGCATTGGTATTCCCCTGCAAGTGCATTTTAAGGTCTTTAATTTTAATCTTAAGGTTGTATTGTTAAACTGATAAAATTGTTTTTACTTTCAGGAAAAGCACATTCCTACAAGCCAGTTCCACTATGACACTATGAATGTTGAATCTTTATCTGGCAGGAACTGAAACCACCAGCTCAACTATCAGATATGCATCAAAAGTTCTGATCAAATACCCCAAATACAAGGTAGAAACAGAAAGCAAATTAAATTCTGCACACTTGCTCTGATGATTTTCTTCTCTTAAAAATAAATAAAACTTCAGACTGAATGACATTATAATTGGTAATTCATGTTAATTGTTCACTCCAGAGATCTATGTAAAGCAGCACTAAAATATTTGAAAGTCTTCTGTTATTTTTTGCTGATTTGCTACTGACTTTTAGAGCTTTCTCCACTAATTATGTTGCAATTTTCTTCTCATTCCAAAGAGACCATTCAGCAGGAAATTGACACTGTAGTTGGACAGCGTTGCCCTTGTATGGGAGACAAGAGGTCCCTTCCATATACAGACGCAGTCCTCCATGAAATTCAGCATTTTCTAGATATTATCCCCTTGAGCATCCCTCACTATGCACTACATGACATTTCTTTCAGGGGTTACACAATTCCCAAGGTATTTTGATGTAATCTATTTTAGTGCTGTTTATGCAGAATGTTCCCAGATAAGAAATGTCCCATCTGCTTGAACATCTTTTCTCAACAGGATACACTAATTATTCCCTTGTTGCACTCTGTGCTAAAAGATGAAAAACGGTGGGCAACTCCACGGTCTTTTAACCCCCAGCACTTTCTGGACAACAATGGGAACTTTAAGAAAAACCCTGCATTTCTGCCCTTCTCTGCAGGTAATGATGCACATTTCCTTCTATCCTCCACGCCTTTAGAAAATGTGCTCCTCATTGGATCTACTTTATTAACACATTTTTGTGGTATTATGCCCTTTCCTGGAATATTCTGAGCAACTATTTCTAAGATTTTTTTTCTGTGAACAGAAGAATCGTAAAACAATCTTTTTTTCCATCACAGTTAGATGTATATTGTTTTTCTCATTGGCTTATTTATGCTCTTCTTCCAGGAAAGAGATCTTGCGTTGGAGAGTCTCTCGCTCGCATGGAGATTTCCTCTTCCTGGTGTCACTGCTGCAACATTTCACTTTCTCTTGCCTTGGCAGACCTTACAGCATAGACCTCAGCCTTGAGTACAGTGGCTTTGCCAATGTGCCTTGCAGATACACAATTATTGCAACACCCCGGTAGTAATGCTGATTTAAACTATAGTCTGGGTTTTCAATCTTCTAAACTTTTAAGACTGATATCACTATCTGTTACGATCAATTTTCATGGCCCGTGCTTCAGTGTGTCTTTCTGTCTATATGAATTCTATCATCTTGTTTACAGGATATCCAATGTTGTTCGGTGTGGTATATTTTCTTTTCCCACCTATCTTTCCATGAAATCTCGTTTTTAAAGAAAGCATCCTAATCATACAATAAACCACGAGAAGAGATCCATATGAAGTAATTTCATTGATGAATGGGAAATTTTATAAATCATTATGTGAAAAGTTGCTTTGACCAGGAAAAAAAAGTAGGGCTGTTTATAGTGTATGGTAAACCCTGTCTGTCTACAGCACAGATCACTGAACTATATAACAAGGAGTTAAATCTGTAATTTGATAAGTTTGAGGTCGGGTGATGAATCAAGCCATGTTTCAGGATGCTGGTGTGCCGATGCGTACTCCAGTGGATGGCTGAGTAACAGAGTGGATGCCTGCATCCGACCTTAGGTATCGCCATTGAGACAGTGGCTGGAGTACATTAAAAACCCATCAAATTACTTAAAGTATTGGCTTTTGTGGTGGATTTTTATTAAACCTTAAGACTGTGTGAGGAGGTTGAACATCAAGTATACAGGCTAATATCCAGTACTAAATGCTCTTTTTTTTGGTTTACATTAACAACATTAACAATGTTTACAGAATCTGAAGACAGATGCATTTGTTTCTCTTATATATGGTAAAATGCTCAAATATTTTAACGTATGATTAGTAATTACTGGATGTATCAGAAAACCGGTATAGTCTTGTAGCCAATTTGCAATGGCACAGTGGTGACTACAAGACATTTGTTTCAATCTTGTAGATGTATCTTTAGCTATGATACGAACAGATTGTGCATTCTTTGCCCTAATCTCAGCTCATAATATATAAACTATTGGTTTTTGTATGAAGAATATCGCTTATATCTATAAGTGATCACAGAATTAAAATCGTATTTTACTTACCACAACATTAACGTATGTTCCTTCAAATCAGCTTATTTAAATGACTGCGCAAAGCAGAACTTTACTCCATCGTTTACACATTTCAGCCACTAAACACTAGATGAATTTATTTATTATATGTTGGGCAGGTGATATTTTTGCTTCACTTGTTTCTTGACTTCTGGTGCAGGTGAGATGTTACTGTTTAGTAACTGAGGGAGGTACTGA